AAGGAGGCGTGTAGATTTGTTAATAAACCCATTTTATTTGTTTTTATTCAACAGCTTCTTTAAGAAACGTCAGCAGGAGAAGCAGCACCAGACTCGTCGACCGCGAAGAGAGGATGATGAAGACAGCGTGGAGGACGTGGACGACGATGAGTTTGAGAAAATCCTCGGTGAGTTCAGACACTCAAACTCAAACTGAAGGACTGCAGAAGTTGCCAGAAACTGTTGACGTTGCGATAAATGGTTTTCAGTTTACACTAGCTGACTTTAGCCTGCACAGTTTGGACTGCGTGCTGCAAACCATCAGCACTATAATAACTGCACAAAGAATAAACAGCCAATTATGAATGAGCCAACATTAAACTTAAAGTCATGTTTTAAAACGTTAAATACGGAAGAGGTGATATTATCATACTTTTACTTTGAAATTTAAGGATAAAATTTCGCTTCCTTATGCTGTGAACCACAGACTGTATATGAAGGTGGACATTGTGTCTCCACTTACCCCCACTGTCCAAAAAGGAAGCCAAAATATCCTGTATATTGTAGTAGTCCTGTCCTTATTTACAAACATTTCTGTTTTTGAATGCATGTAGCCTGTTATATAGATATGTATCAATATATTTTTGTTTAGTCACAAAAAAAGGCCATACATGGGATTTATATCTTGTTACCTGCAGGAACAGATGAGTAGGCACTGTTCATCAACTTATATGAAATATATATGAATATGACAGCAGCGGTAGTTGAAGATTTCCATGACAACGAGTAAAAAGGTCTCGAGGGCTGTCTATCAGCCACTTGCAGTCTCTGCCCTCGCAGACTTTACGTGATGACTGTAAATACGTTACACTACGTCCAACTGAAGTCCACTAGGGCTCAGTCTGTAAATCCAGAGGGTGGACATTTGGATTCAGCCTCCGTTTGGCCCATGTCCCATCCACTAACATTGAGGGGGTGGGGTCTATGACCTACAATGCAGCCAGCCACCAGTTACAGAATGAATGATAACTATAAAAGTAATTGTTTTTTAACTTGTATATTTGGAAAAAGTTGAAATTCAAAAACTGGTATGTTGGTTTGTTTCAAGCTGAAAATCATCTTAAATTTGTGACTGAATAATTTATTTTTTACTTGTGGTTTTGTTGTGCGTAATTCTCTTGTGTAAATGATTATCAGTTTTATCTAGTTAAAAATCTGATGGTATTTCTGTGACTTAATGACTTGATCTGACTTTGTTTTTGAACAGATTCCTGTGAGAGAGACTCGTACTTCACTGAGATGGCAGATGATGATCTGGACTTTGCAGGGTGAGCAAAAAGTTCTCATTAATTATTTATTAACTCACTGACAGGTGTGTTTGTAATTTGTTCATAGGAACACCAAAAACAACATACTGAATACTTGCAGTAATAACACAGTTAATGACAGGATTAGCTTGAAAGCAAAATATTTTATTGTTTGAAGCTGACATGCAGTCTCAGAAAGAGTTTACAGGTCATCTTGTTTTAACATCTTCTGTTCATTTGTTCAGTCTCATGGATTGATTGATTAATTTCATCCCCCTCTCCTCTGTTACCCCTCCATGTTTGTCAGTAATGTGAAGAGTAAAAAAAAGAAGAAAGGCGCAGAGGACTCAGACGACTCGGACATGGACGATTCAGACATGGACGACCTGGACGATGAAGAGGTGTCTCTGGGCAGTATGGATGAGGAAGACTTTGGAGACGAGCTGGAGGAGGAAGGAGGGACGTTCATGGATCTTGATGGAGGCGATGACGACGACTATGATGATGATGATGATGGTAGGGAACAGTTTTCTAGTTTGTTAATGGTGTATTAATTTCTTTTGTTAATTAATTTGCTTTTTTTTTTTTCTTTTTTTGGTCTCTTTTAGTTCCAGAGCTGGAGGATGACGATGCTGCATTCGGTGGTGAGTACAAGTTCACATACAAATCTTCATCACAGTTTGACACAGACTGCATCAAATTTATTTACAACATTTAAAAACCAACATTGGTCTAGTGAGTAGAAGATAATCATTAGTTTCTCTTTAAAAACATATATCAGTTCACTGTTTATAGAAGCTTATGAAATAAACATTCCTGTTTTGAATTATGAAATAAATGTTTTTCTCTGCAGATTCAGGAGATGAGATGGAAGTTCCAGACATCACTCCTCGTACCAAGAAGAAGAAAAGGAAATCCTCAGAGGACCTCGACTTCTCTGGATCTTTAGGTTTGTTTAACTTGTTCTTAATATATAATGTTATTATTTTTTCTTTACCTTCATTGATATTAAAAAAAATCTTAAGTGTTTTAATGTAAGATTTTAGTTTGACTGTTGATCTCCCTTTTGTGGCTGTTGTGAAAATGTTGATGTTTGACCTGCTTCATTAGTGAAACTGAATTAAGTTCATCAATATGATTTTAAGTTGTTTAACTGATTGGGGCTCCTTCTCACAGGTCCGAAACAGGGGAAGAAGAAGAAGAAAGGAAAGAAAGATGGAGCCATGTTTGCTTCTGCTGAAGAGGTGGGTTGTGTTTGTGGTTTTATAAATTGTAATAGCTCAACTTAAAACTTCTGCATCAAGTTTGGTCTTCTGAATGATTGAAAAAAAAAATATCTGAATTGAAATGGATGGTGGAGGACCATAAATATAATGAATGCATTTCATGTCATAGTCCGGGACACCATTAAATGTTTGTTACGCTGCCACTGGCCCATGGGCCACACCTTGAGAAAATATAGACAATACTGTTTTTTTTGTTTTGTTTTTTTTCTATTACATACTATACTATAACATTTTTTGTGACTTTTATACGACATACTACACCATTGACATCTTTTGTGACTTTTATACGACATACTATACTATGACATTTTTTGACATTTTTACTATGGCATTTTTTGTGATTTTGTTACGACATACTACACTGACATTTTCGTGAATTTTTTACAACCTACTACACTTTTGTGACTTTTATACGACATATGACATTTTTTGTGACTTTTTTACAACATACTATACTATGACATTTTTTGTGATTTTTTTTTTTTACGACATACTATCCTATGACAATTTTTGTGATTTTTTTTTACAACATACTATACTATGACATTTTTTGTGACTTTTTTCCGACATACTATCCTATGACATTTTTTGTCATTTTTACGACATACTATCCTATGACATTTTTTGTCATTTTTACGACATACTATACTATGACATTTTTTGTGACATTTTTATGACATACTATAACATTTTTTTTTTACTTTTTTATGACATACTATACTATGACATTTTTTGTGACTTTTTTACGACATACTATACTATAACTTTTAACATTTTTATGACATACTATACTGTGACATCTTTTGTGACTTTTATACGACATACTATACTATGACATTTTTTGACATTTTTATGACATACTGACATTTTTTGTGACTTTTTATGACATACTATACTATAACATTTTTTTTTACGTTTTTATGACATACTATACTATGACATTTTTTGTGACTTTTTTACGACATTATGACTTTTTTTGACATTTTTATGACATACTATACTATGACATTTTTTGACTTTTTTACATTATGACTTTTTTTGACATTTTTATGACATACTATACTATGACATTTTTTGTGACTTTTTTATGACATACTATACTGTAACACTTTTTGACATTTTTATGACATCCTATACTCTATTTTTAAATGACAATGTGATGGCTTACTATGCCTTTTTAAATGAAATGTTTATTGCATATCTTTTTTGTTAAATGTGGTGTGGTTTGTTTTTTTGTTTTTTGTTTTTTCAGTTTGGCTCCCTATTGGACGAGAACGCTGGCTCCAAGTTTGACAACATTGGACTGAATGCGATGGCCAACAAAGACAAAGCAGGTAGGACACCTGAGTGATCACAACCTTTAACATCTCATACAGAAAAGATCAAGAAGTACCAGTATTATTATCAATGAAAATAGACTGCTATCACTTAATTTAAGGGTTAGTCTTCTATATGTCTGTTTGGGGGAAAAAAAGTTGTAAAACACATTTACATGTTCACCCTTTGGTTCCTGCTTAAATAAAAAAATAAAATAATGTTTGGTTAACAGACTGCTGAAAAAGTTAACAGCCAAAGCAGATTAGAAAATTCTGCAGGTTTGACTAATATACAAAGATAAAATAGTTCTCCAGTGTACATATTTAGTCTCCACCCATCATGTAAACAAAAAAAAGAGACAAGATGAAGGTTTTTATTCAATTTGCTGGATACCAGCTGGGTTTAATTACTTCTCCACAGAGAGCAACAGATCAGTTGGACAACAGCAGTCAACCTACAACATTTTCATTTATATAAACAAACTCTACTTCAGTTTAAACCAGAAGCCTAATTTTCAGTTTTAAACCAGGGCCTTAATCTCATATTTCTGTCCATTAGCCAGTTTCACTAGCTCTGTTTTAAAGATTTGGGAAACAGAGTGAGCGTCCCAACAGCTTTCCAAAAAACAACTTCAGTAAAGAACATATCATCTCAAACACTGGTTTAAAGTAAAGGCAAAATCATCCCCCTTTTTGGCGTTTAGAAGCAGCATATAAACATCTAATAAATGGTTTATACAACACTATAATGTAGTTCTAAGTAAATAGTGTTTTATTCATGTATTTTTAAACATAACTATAACTCAGCCTGTGGGCATCCAAAAGATATGGCTGGTGTACAAACACTTGAAATGTACTGCTTATAACTATATTATAATGAAGTTATAAACCATTTATTAAATTCATATAAAGCATTCATAAATTCCAAACAGTAAAGTTTTTGTCATTTCCTGTTCCTGTAGGCCTGAAGCAGCTGAAGTGGGAGGCTCAGCGTGACGACTGGATCCAGGGTCGTGATGTCAAGACGCTGCGCAAGAAGAAGACTATGTTCAACAAAAAGATGATGTTTGGTCGAGCCAGGGCAGGAGGCAAGGCGTTTGGGAACAAGAAGAGGAAGAAGTAGCAGCTGCTGTGTGTTTGTCGATTTTAAAACTGATGGACACCTTCACTCCTGTTTGGCTGACCAGGCTGCATGGTCTTTCTCTCGAATTCCATAGACTCCCGCCCACTCGTTGGACTGGTAGTAAACTGGGAGGAAACAGAGGAGCAGAAACTGATTTTCAGATCCAGTCAAATGATGAAAGTTACACACTGTGGTTTGACTTTTGTCTCATTAATGGGATGAAACGTGATCTGAGGAGGAGAACTGTTCAGTGTTTTTGTAAAAACAAAAGACTTAAGTTTATGGGACATTACGTTGTCCTTGTTGCATATTTCAGTCTGCAGATGACCATGTATACATTTACCATTTACTAAACTCTGTACAGAGTTCTTATTTATACATGTGCATCAGTGGAAATTAAAGTTCTTAGTATTTTCTAATGCAGTTTATGGTTTGTTTTTATGAGTGCTTTTGTTGACTGCTGACAAAAATGCCCATATTTTCAGTTCTGATCAATTAAACACATTTAATGTATTATTTTGTCTTCTCTATTTAATGAATTATTGTTCTTTAATTACAAAGGCAGGGTGTTGGTGGGAGGTGCTAAAAGTTTAGATGTAACTTCATCTATTTGCAATCTGTACAAATTTGGATTTAATAAATTTCCATCAGAATGGTCAATCCTTTATAATGTGGGATGTCAAAAAATGCACTAGGAAAGTCATAGCAGAGTATGTAGTACGTCGTAAAAGAAGTCACAGTATAGTATGTCTTCCAAAATCATAAAAAAAAAGATCACATTGTATGTCATAAACATTTCTTTTTTTTAAGTTATAGTAGATTATGTCATAATGACAGTAGAGCAAGTTTTGAAAAAAAGTAATACAGTCATGGTATGTCAGAAAACCGCAACAAAAATGTCATGGTATGGTTTGTCCAAAACAAAAAAAAGTTACACAATGTAAAAAACAAAACTCATAGAATAGCAAGTCAAAAGGTGGTATAGCAGTAACTAAAAAGTCACAAAAGGCTCATTTTGCAGTATGTCATGGAATTTAAAAATGTCAGTGTATACTATGTAAAAGAAATCATAAGATAGTATGTCATAAGCCATTACAAAGTTGCATTACAGTATGTCAAATAAGTTTCTTCTAAATCAAAAAAGAAAAAAAATGTCAGTATCCTATGTCCGAAAAAGTAATTGTATATGTCAGGAAAAAAAGACAGTATAGCAAGCCAAAAAAAAAACTGTAATACAGTCTGTAATACAGCCATGGTACACCATAAAACTGCCAGGAAAATGTCAGTGTAGTATGTTAAAAAAGTATAGTATGTAAAAAGGAAAAGGAAAAGTCATAGTATAGTATGTAAAAGTCATAATATCTGTCAAAGAAAGTAAGTGTATGTCAAAAGAAAACTTAGGACACGACAGTCAAAGAAATTTAAAAAAGTATAATATATTAAAAAAGTCATAGTATAGTATGTCATAAAAATGTAAAAATGTAATAGTATAGTATGTAAACGAAATCATAGAATTGTATGTTATAAAAAGTAATAATATAGTATGTAACAAGTCATAGTATAGTTTGTCAAAAAGTTGTAAAAAAAAAGTCACAGTTAGAAATTATTTGAGTAAACAAACTTAAAAAATGGCTTAGTTTAGTATGTCATAAAAAAGTCAAAAAATGTCATAGTATATAGTATGTAGTAAAAAAGTCACAAAAAATGTCATAGTATGTCGTAAAAATGTCACAAAAAATGTCATAGGATAGTATGTCGTAAAAATGTCACAAAAAATGTCATAGTATGTCGTAAAAATGTCACAAAAAATGTCATAGAAGAGTATAGTAACTAAAAACTTTCCTTGATGATCACAATATTATGGAGGTTTTTCAGTCTGGTTTTAAAACTTTGCATAGCACGGAAACTGCCCTTTTTAAAAGTTTTTAATGACATTTTAATGGCAAATGATAGTGGCAACTATGTTGTTCTTGTCCTGCTCGACTTGACCGCTGCCTTTGACACTGTAGACCACAACATTTTGTTAAAACGTCTGCAGCAGCTAGTGGGCATTGGTGGTAGCGCCCTGGACTGGTACAGGTCCTACTTAACCGACAGGACTATGTGTGTTGGTCTTGGTGCCTGTGAATCCTCCTCTGCTCCGCTTTTATATGGGGTCCCACAGGGTTCAATTTTAGGACCCCTACTTTTCTCCCTGTATATGCTTCCCCTAGGGTCTATCCTCAGAAAGCATGGTGTCGCCTTTCATTGCTATGCTGATGACAGCCAGATATATGTCCCCCTGAGTAAAAGCGATGCCTTTTCCCTCAAACCCCTGCTGTAGTAGTAGTAGTATAGTATGTCATAAAAAAAGTCACAAAAAATGTAAAAGTATAGTATGTCGTAAAAAAATTACAAAAAATGTCATAGTGTAGTATGTTGTAAAAAAAATAAAAAAAAAATGTCATAGTATAGTATGTTGTAAAAAAGTAAAAAAAAAAAAGTCATAGTATAGTATGTTGTAAAAAAAATTAAAAAAAATGTCATAGTATAGTATGTCATAAAAAAGTCACAAAAAATGTCATAATATAGTATGTCGTATAAAAGTCACAAAAAATGTCAGAATATAGTATGTCGTATAAAAGTCACAGAAAATGTCATAGTATAGTATGTCGTAAAAAAAAATGACAAAAAATGTCATATGTATGTGATGTAAGACAGTTGCGTAAGTATATTTTTCACTTTAATTCACTGAAAATTATTTAACACAACTTTCACTCAAGAAATTATTTTTAACAAAAAAAATTTAAAAAAAATGAGTTTCCAGCAGTTTAAGCAGTAGGTTTGGTGAATAAAGCCTGGATAACTGACAGTGTGGTCAGAACTGTTTCTGGTTGCTAGGCTCATCCACATTGATCATTTTGTAGCATCTTAGATACTGTGCTGTTGAACATCAGCAAAAACTTGTAATCTTAATTTGAGCCAAAATCCTATCCTGACACAAAGCACGTCCAGTAAACAATAGAGGATAAAACATCTTAATCTGCTTACCTTCTAGGACTGAAGGTAACCTCTTGTTCATGGTGTTCCTGAAATCTGCAGGTTGAGGAAAAAAGAACAGGATATTTTAAAATGATTTAGAAGTCACTCATCAATTTAAGAGTCCTTCAGCTTGTGCCCAAGTATCAGTATTTTACTGATACCTTGACTGTTGTTCATCTTGTAAAAGAGACCATACGCCCCAAAGACCCCGAGCAGCTCCAGTGCAATCAGTCCCTTCATGAGTTTCTTGGCCAGAGGCTCCAGAGGTTTGGGAGGCATCTAAGGACACATCAACATATCCAAACACAACTTTATTTACATCAACAAGGATGAAAACTGTTCGATGTTACATATAATACAAACACAGTTCTCCTGCATTAATGTTGTACGTGCTCTGACAGTCCACTTCCAAAGAACTTGTGTTAAAAGGTAATCAAAGGGAACATCTTGTCTTTTTTGTTGTAGGTTGCTGTTTTTAATTATCTACTGTCACCTTGCATTACCACACTACAATGACACAACTTTGATTGTGACACATTACAGTTTATTCATTTAATCACACTACTACACCAGTCCACCACAGTATGTTTATTATATTTTACTCCTATATTTTAACTTCTCTTTGTCTTTAAGATTGCCCTGCCTCTGATGCACCTGTCTCACATTCAGGTCTGCAGAGAATTTCTAATTTGTCATAGCTGCTTATTGTAATGTGACTGCTTTTGTAAGTACTTTTTGCATCAGCATTACCAATGTATTAATGATGTTATACACTATGTAATACATCAGGCACAGAGGACATTTTACCACAGAAAGAGCACTTTTATCTTTGTTACTTTCATTAGCCTACATTTTGCTGCTTATACTTCTCAAGTACGAGTCTGAATGCAGGACTTAGTCTCTTTAAGTATAATAATATATTATGTGTTGGTACTTTTACTGAGGTAAAGGATCAGAGTATTTCTCCCACTAGCAGTAGTTTCCATCTTGTTGAGCACAATAAATCAATGTTACACCTTTAATGACTGGAGTAAATGTTTGGTAAGACTATTTTCAACATCCAACAACTCCAGAGACAGAATTTAATAAACGCCTTTCAAGAAATTGGCAGGAAACAGCGATTCACATCATCTCAATTCATTTTCCTTCATCATAAACATTACAGGCTAAACCTGCTAATTAGTTAGCAAACACTTCTAGCCTTCACAAATAAACCTGAATGGTCTATTTACCCACCAGTTTACGTCCTTTTGGTTTTAAATGAACTCACCTTCAGATTCACGGAAGCGACAAAAAATTAACGAGTCTTTACAAGTAAATTAAAACAACAAAAATTGTTAAAGTAACATGAAATGTTTTCGGACGTCCTTGTGCTGTGCAAATGAAGCTAACGAAGCTAACTTGTTGCTACTTCCTGGGTACGGAAGCCCCGTTAGTACAAACACAAGACGTGACTTTTACCGAATGACAGTGCCGTTATCAAAATGACTTGTAAACAGCTGTTGCACACCACTACTAATAACAAATACAACAACAACAAAAATAATGATAATAATAACATTGAGAGTGAGAGCTCTCATTTATATTTCGAATATTTTTTTTTATTCATTTCTCAGGGCACACTCTTGATGGTGAAATAAGAACTCATAGGGGCCTAATTAACGAGTGGCAATGCTGCTCTGTAAAAATACTCTGTTAAAAGTAAATGCCCTGCATTGAAAATTTCACTTAACTAAAAGTACAAACATATTGAAACAGCAATCTGTAACCTATTTAAAGTATTAGGTAAAAATAGGTCTAGCTGGTGGAGGTGGAGCACATTTAATGGATAGTTATATCTGTAGCCCAGTATCATATTTTATATACTGATGTGTTTTGTTTGTAAAAATTTTACAAACAAAACACATCATTTTAATAAAATAAAATTGTTCCCTCTGAATTGTAGTGGAGAATTAAAGTATCAAGATGTAGAAAGGTGAATATTTAAGTGAACTATACATTCTTAGGTAGGGTTAATATGAATTGTTTTTTCACTTCCCTTTAAACAAATACTTAGTGTCATTCTCTGTGAAAAGATGATAAGATCAGAAAGATAAAACACATGTATGGTGACCTCAGTTAAAGTAAAATAAATGACAAAGCAAGTAGCTTTCAGTTGGAGTGCTTTGTATTCAGACATACTTTTCCTGTCTTTTAAAACTTCCTGCAGAAATTACATCCAACTGCTCACTTCTCTTAGTCCTTCACTGCATAATACAATTTGTAGACTTTGTTTTTTATTTGATGTCACTTAAAATTAAAAACTGATTTAGAACTGTGATTTGATTGCACTGTAGTGACAGGAGCTCACCAGTAGGTGCTAGTGTGGGCACAATTTGCAACAGCACAGCTCTTACTGATGTTTCAGATGAGAGGAAAGTTCAGTTAAACTAGCAGAAACTGAAAGACCAGATTTACCTGAGAAAAATGTGCAGGCAAAAGACACAGTGAGGGGAATCACTGGCAAGTTACAAAAAAAAATCCTCCTCAGTTCATTAGGCTACAATTCTTAAAAATCAAGATAAAATAAGTTGGTTCAGGTGTTGCATCAGCACAAGCACAGAGATGAGTTCACTTACAAAGAAAGAAATGAATATTTAGAGGTATACAGAATAAAAATAAAACTAGAAATAAAAACTGGAAACTATAGGCTACAAGAGCAATTAAAAATCAATCAAAATTACAAGGCAGAGTAATGATACCTAATGTTTGTTTGTATTAATACAGAAATATATTATAGTATATAATGTAATAAACATATTAACATTAAACAGTGTAATATAGTAGAATATAAGATAGAAATTGAATTGTATTAATTCAATTAATTTAGAAAAGGTGCAAATAATATACAAATTAATGAGCACACTGCTGTTTCTTGGGTTTTCTGAGAGAAACCAACAAATTGTTCTAATGCAAAACTGCTCTGAATGTTGAATGATTGTTTGACATAATTAAACACTACATGGGCCTCAGCAGCCGAGCAATGAGGAAGCAATGTCAGCCAACACAACTATTACAATTTTAGAATTAATACAATCAGCTGGTTAATCGATTATTTAATTGAAAGTATTTTTTTAGCAAAAATGCCAAAGCTTGATGGTTTCAGGTTTTAGAATGTGATCAATTTCTGCTTTTGTTAGTCTCATCTTTTTGTAAATTGAATATGCGGGGGGTTTGGGGCTGTTGTTCGGACACAGTAAGACATTTAATATTCAGTCACATCCTGTGCTCTGCTGAGCATTTTTCACAGTTTTCCTGACATTGCAACAATTAGTTGATAAAGTAATTGGCAGATTAATAAATACTGAACATAACAGTTAGTTGCCATCCTAATTTATTCAAAATCACTCAGTATTGGTTCACGCATCAGCACTTATCTTCTTCATCCCCTTCCTGTCCAGTAAAAACCATGTATCTCCACATGTGTTTATTTTAAATGTTTGTGATAAACTGAAGGGTGAAGTGTTTCTTTAGGTGTTGAGAAAATTCTCCTACTTCCTAAGCTAAATAAACCCTTTAAAAACCCTCTTGGATCAGCTGGAAAATGCTTCATCACAAAGCTGAAAACAGGCTGTTTTCCTGACACCATGAAGAGTTGACTTTTTATAGATGTGTGGTTCTCACAGGACAGCCACACTACAAACATATGATGATCTTATAGAATATGATGCATTGCTGTGGGTTAAACCAACCAACAGTATATATGGGAGTTAAAATTAGCACAACCTTAAACATCTACAGCAGTAAAATGCAACATACATATTAATGCAGCAGTAATATTAATCCAGGAATATCAGATATAACAGTAAAACACTGACAGGAAACATTTTACTGCACAATGAGTACCTTTACTTTACATTTTGCTGACGATACATATGTTTAGTTAAGTAGTATTTTCAATGCAGGACTTTTACCTGTAGTGGAGTACTTTCACAGGGTGGTATTAGTGCTTTTACTTAAGTAAAGGATCTGAAGTCTTCTTCCACCCCTGGTTACTTGTATATGTGCACATGGATTGAGAAGGGCCCAGTTTTCAGGGTACGCCCCGGGCTGCTCGAGGATGGCTTTAAATTTTATGTGTTTAGAAAAACCTGAAACTGTTCTTTTTTAGTGAAAGATCATCTCCTTTACTTCAAGGTAAAATTTTGTACTACAATACTAAAGATTCCTGGATGTTTTTCAAACTTGTATGAGCTAGACGAGACATTTGCACCAGCAGATGACCTCACACAGATATTTCAGTCTTCTTTATCCTGCCTGACAGTCTGGGTGACCCTCTGAGCTACACTGGACCACAGAGGATAAAAATATTTTGGAGTTGTTTGACGTCCACACTGGGAGGACAGGCTGTGTGTGTGTGCAGAGAGCATGGTGGTCCGATCTCTCTTGTTTCTCTACCTCGGCTGTGTGTACCGTCTGTCCCGTCATCCTTTCAGATTCATCACCAGGTAAATACACTCTGTCAGACCACAAACAGTAAACCCTGGGGTCGAGAGGAGGAGGAAGATCCCACAGACAGTCTCCACTCTGCCTGTAAAGACCTATATGGCAACACACGAGTAAAACATAAGACATCACACAGTTTGGGGGTGATTTTGGTTCATTTTTCATGAGTTTAAGTTCAATCAGATTGCCACTATTACAAGAAAAACAGAGATCAGTTTCTGGATCCAAACTAGCATACAATAGACCAGCATGCATTGCAGCAGAGAAATGTTGTAGGAGGGGAGTAATTTATGGGAAAAGCTTTGGTAAAGACAGACAAGGAAGGTTAAAGGGTGATAAGTTCAACAAAGAAATTAACGCAATAAATAAAAGGACAATATAACATGATCAAAAGCTCCAGAACAACTACTAAATGGACCTTATAAGGGTGAGATTACTTTCAACCTCCTAAGTCAAAAATGAATGTTATAGGAATTATATGAACATTATGACCCATATTTTCTTTAAATCAAACCCCATTCAATGTGTTTACAGCTCGTCTTCATGGTAGAGTTACAGCAGTGGTGGGAGACAAACTCAGATCTTTTACACACGTGAAAGGAGTAATACCAAAGTGAAGAAATACTCTGTTACAAAAGACTTGCATTCAAAATTTTGCTTCGGTGGAAGTATTAACAGCACAATAGGCTACTTAAAGTATCAAACATAAAAGTACACACTGTACTGAAATAATACCTCCTGACTGATGTGTTATAGTATTTATTATTGGATTATTAACACTGATGCATCAGTGTCAGAGCATCATGTTACAGCTGATGGAGGTGGAGCTAGTTTTAACTGCTTTATATGCAGTTAGCTGGTTTAGTCCAGCAGTTTCCAATCTAGGGGTCAGACCCCTCCAAAGGTCACCACATAAATCAGAGAGGTTGTGAGATGACTAATGTAAGAGGAAAGAAGAAGAAACTGTCATTACACAAATTTGTTTTCAGTTTTTGGACTTCTCTCTATCTTTTTTATAAGATATTGGATGATATGATCTCTTTAGGCCCCAAGCAGTTATTTATGTAAAACCATGGGAAAATGTCTCTGTCTCTGGAACTGCTGATGTCCCAGAGGCAGTCGTGGAAGTAGCCAACATTTACTCAAGTACTGTACAGTATGTAAGTCTAACTTCAAGGTACCTGCACTTTACTTCTTCCACTCCACCACATTTCAGAGAGATATATTGTACTTTTCACTTTACTGCATTTTTAGGAGCTGGTTGGTAGTTAGGCCTACTTTTCAAATTAAGATTTTACACAAAAAATGAAATCACTTTCTAGAATTAAACCGCCAAGGCTACATAAAACTAGTACCTTGACCAACAAAATTAAGTACAGCTAGGCTAAATATTAACACATAAATAGTAATGATAATAATATGATAGTGACAGCCAGTCTGCATTATGAGTACTTTTACTTTTGACAACAGGTGATTTGAGTGCAGGATTTTTACTAGTGTTTTTTAATGTGGTTATGCTGCTTTTACTATGTAAATGATTTCAGTGTATAACACCTCTGAATATACAAACTGAAACATAACAAGGAGCACAGAAGGGGTCACAAAAAAGCTCTCAGGGGGTCACAAGGCAAAAAGGTTGGATACCATTTGTTTTAATTTAAATTAATTTAAATTATTTATTAGTGTTTTATTTTCTAAGTTTGTCATTTTTTTTATTTAATTTGATTTGATTTAATTCAATTCAACTCAATTTAATTCAATTAATTTATTTTGTTTATTTATTTATTTAATTTTTAATGTAAAATCTGTTGTCGGTAAAATGTGGCGTGGAGTAGGCTACAATATTTCCCTCTGAGATGTAGGCCTATGGAGTAGAAGTATGCAGTAGCATAAATTAGAAGTACAAGTACTTCTAAATTTAAGCCAAATTAATTAGGTCTACAGTTCTTGAGTAACCTAAATCTACTTAGTTACTTTCCACCATGAAGTTACCTGAGTGACGTCACATTAGACAGGCATTGGCATTCGTGTTGTCACCGTCCTGAGAGGCCACGGGGCGGGAGTCTCGTGCCGAGGTGTTGCTGGAATATTCAAATCAGATACTGAGCTCGAGGAGGGATGGAGTGGAGACAGCTGATTGGATACTGACTCCGGCAGCAGAGCGAGCGCAGGTGGCAGAGTCCCTCAGTGAGCAGGAACCTTCCCCGGTCACAGTCGCTGCTCAGGTATGAGCCAGTCCCGGGTTTAAACAGCTGGGACACACCGGACCGTTACCGGCTGAGGACAGGTTTCGGTTTATGTTTGTTTGTTTCAAGCTCGCGGGAAGCCGTTTGGATGAATTAGTGTTGGCGCGTGCACCATGCTGAGCGCCGTTAAGATGGAGGGACACGAGCATCCAGACTGGAGCGGCAGCAGCTACTACGGAGAGACCGAGGTCTGTGCACCTTACACCGGCTTTCATCTGAGCTCAACCCCGCTGATTATCAACCTAAATATTCAGAGAGAATAATAACTGTGATTAAATATTAGATACATAACTAAATTAACATTGGGCTATAGACATCTATAGGTAGCCTATAGGCCACGAGCTATTTAATTCCTCTCACAGACTGCTGCGCATTTTAAAATGTCTATATTTTACAATTAGAAATACACCTATTTGTTGTCAGTATGTGTATTATTGGTATTGCTTAAGCCTACACATTTGTTTTAATTAATCAGCTTTAGGCTACTTTTAACAACTTGTATTTCTGTAGTAGGCTACATTAAAATTACAGCTTAGAGTTTAATTAAGTGCATTTCCGATGTGGATTTCGCAGTATGATGATATATCATGCTCATGTTTGCGTGTAAGCCTATTTCGTTATTTCCCTGCTTAAATATGCTATTAATTTTACATTTAATAGCCTACATGAGCATTTAAAAGAGTCTTTCCAAAATTATTTTTGAGATAATTCTTATAATTACTAATGCAGGTTGACAGAGAATGATGTTAGACAGCCTGTCAGTAAACTGAGACCTAGTTTGTTGGAAACAAGTTGAATTAAAAGGAAAACCTCTTTACATTTGCGAGGGTTTGATTAAAGATTACTTGACTTTTGATGGACTATAGGACCAGTGTAGGTGTATGGGTGACTCTGCTGTTAATGTAGGCTATCTACACATGTTGTATTTCATCATTAAAGTGAAGAGCGAAGACAGAGCAAATATTTAATGTTGAGGACTTCTCCACGTTTACTTATTATTATCAATAATAATGTTAGCAATAATCAATAAATAACTTCAGCTGGTGGACGTATTAACACTGAGGCTATGGTCCTGTTTTATTTCTAGTAATTTCGTGCAAAGTTTTTCTACAGTTAAAGATTTTTCGGGTTGATGCAAAAAATAGACTTTAAAGATTATAGGTCTGTAATCATTAGGAAAAAACTCTGTTTTGTCGTTGTCACGGAAATCTCCTTGAGAGAAATGCTACGTTTAGGTATAACCTGCAGGAAATAAGGGGTTATAACCATGGTCCTGCTTCAGTCATCTAATCACTATGAGTATATGATATATGAAATATGTATCCCTGTAGGCCTTCCAAGTATTATGTATGACTCCTGTGGTGATGATCAGGCTGGTCCTTAGAAAATGGAAGAAAAAACACTTATAGGCTATCAGTTAAAATAACACATGAGATAAGGGGTTAATAAAAGGGTTATTAAACAAAAAAAAAAAAAAACAAAACAAAACAAGACAATCAAAAAGGGACAAAATGTATGTTACTTCTGTTTGATCAAATTAATCTCTGTAGTTAAGTTTGTGTAGGCTATGAAATTATAGATATAGACTAAGGCATTTTGCAGCAATTTCTGGGTTTATCGATTAGGCGATCATCACAAAATTAATCTGAGTAATCTGTAGCTATTTTGATAATTTAATAATTATTTAAAAAATAATTATTAGAATAATTTAAATAAGTTAATGAACAACCAAAGTCAACACAGTCTCAGTTTCTAGGATTTGCTGATTTTCTTTGTCAGTTAACTGAATCTTTTGGGGGTTTTCGACAAAAAACAATGTGAAGACATCACCTGAGGGTTTGGGAAACTTAAGACATGTTTTTAATCAGAACAAATCAGTGAATACACTAATCGGAATAATAGCCTAATGAACAAATTAATCGAAAATAAAAAGTAGGCTAATACTTGGCCTACTGGCAAACTTGACGTAATGTGAAATATTAGTTTTAAGAGTGAACTAAAATAAATGTTTTTGAGTGTGTTTAACTTTATGTAGGCCCTTCCTCAGTGTGATCAAACTGTGAGTTGTTTTTTAGGCTATTAAGATAAAATTAGGCCTATTTTATGACATCATTAAGACTACCTATTATTATCCGGTGTTATCAAATTATTATTAATAAGAATACCAGTTTAAATAACTCGTGCTTCTTCTCTGTTTCAGTGTTACACCGCAGCAGGAAACATGAACTCCGGTCTGTCCATGAACTCAATGAGCAGCTACATGAGCGCGCCTGGCATGACTGGCACCGGCCACATGAACGCGCATTACGTGAACCCGGTCGGGGTCAACCACTCCTCGATGCCCGCCGGAGTGTCACACAGCCCCGGGGCCATGGTGCAGGCCGGAGCCGGGATAACGGGCCTGGGCACCGCGCTGCCGCCGAGCATGAGCTCCATCAGCCCGCCGCCGTACGGCAGCATACCGGGGATGAGCCCGGTGTACGGCCAGGCCTGCGGCATCAGATCCCGGGAGCCCAAACCGTACCGGCGGAGCTACACGCATGCCAAGCCACCGTACTCGTACATCTCCCTGATCACCATGGCTATCCAGCAGTCCGGGAGCAAGATGCTCACGTTAAACGAGATCTACCAGTGGATCACGGACCTGTTCCCGTTTTACCGGCAGAACCAGCAGCGGTGGCAGAACTCCATCCGACACTCGCTCTCCTTTAACGACTGCTTCATTAAGGTGCCGCGCTTACCGGACAAACCGGGGAAAGGCTCCTTCTGGGCCCTCCACCCGGACTCGGGGAACATGTTTGAGAACGGCTGCTACCTCCGGCGGCAGAAGCGCTTCAAGTGCGGGAAACAGCCCGGTAAAGGTGACAAGGAGGCGGGGAAGTCGGGCCCGGAGGGCGGCTCGGTTACCACCAGCAGCACCGGCTCCGACTCCCCGCACTCCTCCTCCTCATCCCCTCCGTCCTCAGAAGTGAAGGCAGCCGGTGTCGAGCTTAAACAGCACCGGGGTGAACTTTTGCCCTCCAGCCCTGTGCGCGTGCCCTCCCCGCTCGCGAACACCCAGCACCTTTTCTCCCATCACCACCATCACCACCACCACCCGCTGCTGCTGCACGAGGCCGCGCTGAAGCCGGACCACTACCACCCCCACCACCACTACTCCTTCAACCACCCGTTCTCCATCAACAACCTCATGTCCGAGCCGCAGCACCACAAACTGGAGCCGGTGGTGCAGTACGGAGGCTACGGCTGCCCGGTGTCCGGGGCGCTGGTGGCGGCCAAAACCGGCCTGGATCCCGCTCACACCGACACCAACTACTACCGCGGCGTGTACAGCAGACCCCTTATGAACTCCTGAAATACTTTTACAGTGATAAAGCTTCGATTTGTATATTTGTGAAAGGTCCTTTCATCAGTCATTGTGTTTGTTTACGTGCAACAGATAAAAATCTTTATATGAAAACAGACTTTTTATGCTTTATTCACTGACTAAATAAGCCCAAAAGTCAGTGTGCTCTTTTTTTGTTACATAGTCCTATAGTTATTTTCTGGCCAAAATAAAATAGAGTTTGAATGCAACACTGCAGCTACAACACATGCATCTTTAGCATGTTTATACAAGAGTGCAGGTTTTGTTTCAGTGTTGAAGAGCCACATTTTGAGCCTCAAACACTACCTCATGGTAGCCTACTTCTTCCTTCAATCCTGCATATAGGTGCCTCATCTTTCTGTTTTAAGGCAGTTTGCAACCATTGCTTTTGAGGTTGCACACTGTGTCCACCTACTTAAATGGAGACTGTCAAGTCTAGCAGTTTGCCAAAATAAAATAAAAGTCCTCTGCTACGTTCATGTTTTTTTTTGGCATGCACAGATGCATCTGTTCTACTATGTTCTACTTTGAGATGAAGTCTGTTCACATTGGTACTAAATGGTTTAATTATCAGCAGCAGGGTCACAGACAGATGGAAGCACCGGCAGATAACAGCAGGAATAATCACTCAGTGAGGAGGTGAAATGCTCTGCTCTCAAATCACATTAACATCAGACATAAGTGATGGTTAACAGCAGATAACAGACGTCACAGGTCAGGCAGCACATTTATCAGCATCTTTAACACGGCAGGCCTGTCAGTTTCAATGTTGGTTTTATAGAGAAGACATGGTGGCAGAAACATTTAAATAACTTAGGTCCCTGACATGACAAAGAATACGCATTTGAGCTTATTTCTGCATCTCCTGTTGTATTTGTTAACAATTTTTCCCAAAATATAAAGGTAATGATGGCAAAATATGATGGAAGTTATATTAAAAATGTATAGCACTAACAACATATTAAAAACATTAAAATAAAAACTAAAAAGTATGGTAATGGTACACAACATTAGTAGATATTAGGTACATACAACTAGTGGATCTTGCAATCAATAAATCATCAAGGTCATTTTTAAGAGCAAAAATGCCAAAACGTCCTCTGATTCTATCCCTCAAATACAAATACTTGCTAATAGGGCTACAACTAACGATTACAGTACTTTCATTATCAATTAATTTGCTGATTATTAACTCAATTATCATCATTTACTCTATAAAAACAGCACTATATTCGGAGCCTGTACTTGTGTCTCATATAGTTTAAAAAATATGCCACTACAAGCAAAAGTCATGAATTCAAAATGTTATTAAAGTAAAAGTACACAACTATTATCAGACTCAAAAGTAAAAGCAGAATGGCACCTTTACTGGAGAATACATCATTCTGTTTTTATTGCTAATAAATACATGTAATGGCATTTTAATGTTGTACTTGGCCAGCGTGGAGCCAAATTTAGAAACTCAGTATACTACCAGTAGCATAGCACTACATCACATCTACTTAAGTGAATGTAGCCTACTTACTTTCCACCAATGATCAAATATAAAAACTAGGCCTAATAAATGAAAAAAAAGTGCAAAAAATGTCCATCACAGTTTCCTGGTTTCGACAGTCAACTCTGGGGCAAATGAATGTGTGGGGTTCTTGACTTTGAAAGGTGATTCGTTGACTATTAACATTGTTCCCAATTTCCGGCAACTCAATAATTAATTAACTGACTAATTGTTTCAGCTCTACCTGATAGTTTTCTATACTTCTGTAATACACTGAGAATTTGTTTGGAATCAGAGGGGGGGAAAGGAGATGCCTCCCGGGCATTTCTCACTTTATTCTCTGTCATCCTAGTTGATCAATCAAGAAAATGTATGGCAGATTAGTAAACAATAAAAACAACAATTAGCTACATGCTCAATAGTAAGAACAATCATTTCAAAGATAGTCCACACATTTCAGTTGATTTAGTTTTGTGTTGTAGCTGTATGTTGGTCCATTTCACTCAGTACTGGTCACCAGGTATCAAAAAAATAAATTAGCATTTCCCTTTGAAGAAGCAGTGCCTCTTTTAATAGGAAAAAATCCCATATATTTATATATATATATAGTTGCAGACTTCTCTTTGATTCACAACAGCAAATCAGAATCTAAATCTCCGTTAGAATAAGTTTTGTTGTACAAACAAGCAAAAACAGCCCTGGGTACATTTTCATTAAAAACATCTCAATAAATATTAAATAGATTGCCATGAAAGTCTGTACACATGTTCATGTTCCCCAGAGAATGAATCCTACTGACTTTGGTGATCATCTGACTTTTGGCTGTTTTGCCCAGGAACAGGTACAACAGGCTTTAGTTTGAAATGTTGTATTTGACAGTTAAGCACCAAAGGTAAGAAGAAATAATATTTTAGTATTTTAACATTTTTGTATGTTTTTTCAACAGTCTATTTAGACTTCAGGCTTGCGAGGAAATGTGGGGAGTCTATAATATTCTTACAATAGTTTTTTTTTTCTTTTTCCTTCTTATAGTTCAGCTTCACAATCTATATCGATCAATTAGCAATTAATATATTTTTGATGCTGGGATACTGACACTGTTAAAGATTCATATTTTGAAAGGTTTTTTTTTTCTTAAACATGAACACATAAACAAAATAGTCTCAATAGTCTCTTATTCCAACAGTTTTTAAGTATGTTTTTTGTCTGTGCTGCCACACAATTTTTACTGACTGACAAACAATTGATGTAATTATTAGCTGTAGGCCTAAAATTTCACAGCCTCACACATTGCAAAGAGCCATGGGGAAACCCAGATAATGTCTCATTGCTTTAAACTGGCTTAGTTACGGTATTAAGTGATTTTATATGTTTGTACATAAAAGATAAGGTAAGATGAGCCTTTAAATAGAGGGGAACTTAAGTTGTTGTTGCAGCAGTAGCGCAAGGATAGAAATACAGACAAATAGGAAAAGACAAAGATAAAGGGTATATACAACTAGAAAAGGAATAGAAGTTAATAAAAAAAACAATCAAAGCCAAAATTACAAGGTAAATGTGGAAGTGGTGTAATGTGATGAGTAGCAGCAAAGACAAAGTTTTGTGTGTGTGTGTGTGTGTGTGTGTGTGTGTGTGTGTGTGTGTGTGTGTGTGTGTGTTGAGGTGATTAGAGCCCGTCATCACCAGCTGACACCACAACACTGCAGCATGAAGAAGAGTTTGGTTGCTGCAGGAATGGAAGTTAACCTACACACCTCCCAGCCGCTCAGTCTGACTGTTGTCATAAAACATCAACCCTTTACTGGAGAGGGACACTTTGTCTGAAACAGAATTAACAAGCTGAGCATTTGACGGTAAGAGAAACGGCGTTTGAATGAAGATGAAATAACACTGAGCAGGTTTTCATGAGCCGTCTGGGAAGCTCTCAGAGAAATAACGTCTGCAGACACGGCAGGTTGTTCATTAACTTCACACACACACACAGGATCAATGCGTAGCGGTCAAACACATCCTTCAGCAGCTCATGTTGAATATTAAACATTTCTGGTGCCAGAGGTTCAAAAAAAGCTGTCAGTCAGTACAGCTAAAAGCAAACACACCGGAGTTATTTGAACTTATTCAGTTGAACATACATGCAGCTCAGTAAACTCCATGAAATGAGAAGTGAAATGTCCTTGTATTGTTTCCTGTGATCTCACTCTGCTGTAAGTTTCACACTGAACAATACTGAGGAAGAACAACAAGCTCTGATGTGAGGATTTATTTCTGACACGAGTTTTTGCATTTAAGTGGGATAAGACTGAAATTGATGCTTCTTGGTTCCCTTTTTTTAAACAAGATGAAGAGCTCCATGAGACAGTACTGAGGCACAGTGGTGCTTTGAGTTAATCGCTAATGCATGGCGACCCGCTCACACTGACAACATGCTCCATGTTCACCATCTTAGTTTATCAAGTTCGCATGCTAAATATAGCCTGGATTTTTACAACAGAGTTTTGGGAGTTATTAAAAAAACATAAACAACATATTTGTCAATGGCTTTTTCTCAAACGTAAACATAACATTAAGAAATTATCTTGATGTGTATCCCTTATGGCGAGTTCAGACTACACAAACTACTCTTGCCATGACATGTCACACTGCATGTAGTCCCCAGACCAATTAAAAAGCCTATCTTTCATAACATGCATGATGTCATTAAGAAGAACATGCTAGGGCAACACATTCTCACTCCGACTTCGTCACATATTGACGTTTAGTCATCGATTTTCCACGTCCAGATATGATGTGCAAGGTACCCTGGGTGCTTTGGTTGTTGACGTTCTGGGACACCGTGTCAGGTTCTGCCTGTTACATGCATTTTCTTCTTTCAAGATACACTTTGGTTTCACAGGAAATTTTCCTTTTACATACGGTCTCTTTCAAAATAAATGCACTATGTTGGTACAACACTGCAAATTGAGGGTTTTCCTTTCCTTCAACGATAAACACGTGGTTAGGTTTAGGAAAAACAACAGGGTTTGGCTTTAGAATCTTATGGGACGCGAACATCGCTCTCTAGGGTGAAAGTCGGTGTTTGTTGGACCCATCCATCACCCCTTCCACATGCCCCACTCGGACTTTCATCGCCTTAACTTTTGTCCTTGTCCCATCACTTTTCCCCCCTGACGTCACCGGGCACCATTAAACAATAACAGCACCTGGCCGCGTATCATGCAGACGTTAAAGGACGCCTTTTTTTGTTGGTTCCTGACACCGTAAGTCATTACCCAAGCGCCAGATTTCAACGACTTCAGAGTGAGACCGGGCTCGCTAGGGATCGACTTCTGGGAACAAGAATGTTAACAAACAATGGCATCCAAGATGGTCACTGAACGTCATGATCACTGAAAAAAGTCATGGGGAATTTGTTGGAGAAGGCTGAAAAATTCGGACTCACTCATCTCTCAATCTGGAAATCCATCTATAAAGAAAAAAAAAAAAAAAAAAAGGATTTTTTTTTTCTTCCTTTACCTCTGGAGGCACAGCCCGTAGTTTTTCAACTAATGGAAGTGCAGGGGCCTCAGGGATCGTAGATTAGCTGGGCTAACCGT